TGAGAAATTTTAAAGGGGCAATTACAAAAATGCCACTTTTTGTGTGCACATTTGCAAGAACGCTATTTAGGGGTGTTCATTTACAAATATACCACTAATTATAGATTTATAAAACCTATATCTTAAAATTCTAAACACTAAAAAATGTTTTGACACCTAAAACTCCCTAAACACTCAAATATAAACCCTAATAAAACATAATTAACCCAAACATAAATAATATATAAATTTTTTTTTTTGAAAAAGTGACATTTTTGTAAAAATTTTAAAAGTGTGACATTTTTGTAAAGTGACACTTGAAAAGTGGCATTTTTTGAAATTTCTCAATTTTTAAAAATGCCACTTTTCAAGTGTCACTTTACAAAAAAGCCATCTTTTTACAATCTTTACAAAAATGCCACATTTCAAAATTATTTATTCATTATATCATTTATGTTTGGTTTAAATATGTTGTATTAGAGTTTAGTTTTGAGGGTTTTAGGGGTCAATTTTTTTTTTAGAATTTAGAATTTTAATATTTAGGTGCTAAAAAATCATAATTAGTGACATTTTTGAAAATAGACACCAAAAATAACATTTTTGCAAATATCCTTTTTTTTAATTTGTGTGAAAAAACTTAGGTTGACAACTAAATTGAAAAGAAGGGAGTAATGTTCAGATTTTTCAAAAAATATTTTTTTTTTCACAAAAACCAATATACTAGAAGTTACGTTTACCAATTTTCTTTTCAATAATATATTTATACACATACAATATACATTTTTGAATATATTCCCAAATAGTATCTTAAATTTGATGCACTTCACCATGGTCTCCATATGTATTTTTTAACGAAATTCGGCTTTGAATTTTAAAAATTCTGAAATTAAAAAGAATAGACCGTGAGTCTTGTCTAAAAAGATCAGAAAAGCGTCACTTTAAAAATAGCATTTTTTAAAATTTCTCATTATAAATTTCCTAAAGACTAGAAATATCGCAAACCGAAGACCAACATTTTTTTTATAAATCTAAACACTGCAAGCCCATACTTATTCCGTTTGAATTCAAGTCGGCCTTGTTCTTAGGTCGGTCTTGTTCTACATAAAATGTTATCCG